GTAGAAAGAGTTTGAGATCACCTTCAATCCCAACACTTGGGAGGCAGAGGCAGGTAGATCTACACAGTGAGATGCTTTCCCCCAAAAAAGAAAGGATTTGAACAAAACAAACTTTCTTTAAATGGAGGACAAGAACATAAGCCAGCAATCAGTGGTCCCTTATTACCATCTTTCATTATTTAAAAAAAGACCAAGCAGACCAGTACAATCACAGTGGTGCCAGCCCTTTAGGATACTTGAATTAATTAAATCTGTGTACATTCATTAGTCTTTCGGGGTGCTGCTGGAGAAATAGATAGTGACAGATTTGCAACAGCTGTTATGTGTTTTGAATGTAATCATTTCTCCGTCCATCAGTAAATTGTCTACCAAGTCAGCCCTGTTTTCTTACACCGAGTGGAGACATCTTTTTTCTCTTCTTTTCCCTCTTGTCATGGCCTCTTCCTAGGATTGAGTATGATACCTTTTCAAGTTTCTTTACACTATTGTTTCCCTCAAGTCTCCTAAAATTGATACACTTGGAAACACCCTGGATGAACGAGCAGTCTAGAGAACAGGAAATTATCACCAGCGATTTAATCTCACTGTTTCACCTTTCTTCGTGGGAGGGGACTAGCAATATTTCCTTAACCTTTTGAGGTTGCCTGAGGCTACTGTGGCGAGTTTATAAAATGTTGAGTGCTTTCTCAAGAAATAAGCATTTTGCAGAGGAACTTTCCTGTGCGAGCTAATCACTAGGCTTGGTTATTAAAAATGTAGGGTTGGGGATAGTTTTAGAGGCTTTAGTGACTCTAAAGAGCGGCAGCGGACCCAGGTGGGAGGTGGGGACCTGCGTTTTCAGCGAGCGTCCCAGGTGATTCCTCGGGGGGCGGGGCTCGCCCCGCTAAGATGTCCATTTTTTTAAACGTTATCACTCCGTGATTCTGCCACTTCGGGAGCTTTCGTTCCTCTCCCGACCCTTCTCTCCCTTTGTGTCTGCTCTGAGCACTAGCATAGTTACAGAGAGAGGTGCGCAGCTTAGTGTGCAGAAATGGGAAGGAGGAGGGGTGTGGGTGGGGCAAGGCTTGACCAGTGTTTAGCTATTCTAACTGCGAAGTCTGTGCCTGGCTGGTTCTAGCCGGCTGGCTCCGGCAGAGGAAGTCGCGGGGAGAAGTGGATTCGGCAGCTCCTTGTTTGCAGGCGGAGGTTCTGACACTACACACTCTCGGCACCTTTTCTCTAGTCACGTGGATTTTTGCAGTTAGATATGTCACAAAAGAACACGCTTTTAGGTGCTGGTGACCACCCCGGGATTCAGAGATTGTATCTTACTTCGCAGTTCTGCTTTGCTATTTTGAGTCCTTCATTTTTAATCAAATCCCAGCTTGTGTTCCCTTGTCTTGAACCTCAGAAGATTTGCAACAGATGGTGCCTACAGGGCACTTAAGATTTTTCCTTGTTTTACAGTCTAGGAAAAAAATAGGAAAAGAAAACCCACAAATGTGCTGTTACTCCGTGTGTGAACTGTGGTCTGTGCGCGCAGGGTATCTATATACACCCATGCAGAATAGTAGAACCTAGAGTTACCACGAACTGGGTGTGGTGCCCCATGCCTGTAATCCTTCCCTTCAAGGAGAGTTCCAGGCCAGCCAAGGCTATGTGAGACCTTGTTCCCCTCAAGCCAAACTAAACCCCAAACAAAACAACGGAAAACAAACACACACACACACACACACACACACACACACACACACACACACACACCAAAAAACGAAACAGACTTGAGCCCATTGTGTTGGGGTTCCTTGAGGCAGGAGGATCATGAAACGGTTTTCCAGATGAGCCTGCGCTGAGACTAAGTCTCAAACAAAAAGCTGCAACAGTAAAAGCAAGCGAAGAGTAATAGAGTTGTTTGGATCTGGGCAGACAGATGTTCTATGATAGTGAAGAGATATTCAGAGAGACCCAGCTCTATGGGTAATGTCTTTGAGGTGTACTCAAAGTTCATCTTTCCCCTGACCAAACACTTCCAAACTTGCTAATGTCTTCACACCCAAGGACATACATTCAGATATAATTATTTGTGTTACTGTCACACATATCTGAATATACTTTTATTTGATTGCTATTCAATTATTTTGGTATCAACTTGACTACTAGCCAATATTTATACGGAGCTCTTACTATGTTTGAGTTTTGTTAAAAGTGCATTAAATTCGGGTAACTTCATTAATTCTCATGGTTTAATAAAGCAGTCCTAATGAGACCTTTATCTCCTTGATGAAAAAAAAAAAAAAGAGATTTATGGAAGTTAAGCAACAGTCCCAGACAGGAAGTAAGTAAAGCTGGGGTTCAAATAAGATTTATCTGACTCCAGGGATGTAGTCTCTATCACCTGCCATAGCACACCTTTCCAGGGTCTTCAACTGACCCTACAACATTTGGAGCAATATTAATTAGTTCACCAGTGACAAATAGGTTGGGAGGCTGGAGATCATTGTGCATCCGTTAAGAGCACTGACTATTCCTCTAGAGAACCCGGGTTCAATTCCCAGCACCCACACTTGGGCTCACACCTATCTGTAATCCCACCACCGGGATGAAGGTAGTGCGCAGACATGCAGGCAAAACATCCACATACATGAATAGTTTTAAAAAACTGTGGGTGTATAACTAAGCCAAGCCAAGCCACCCAAATACTTACAGTGACACATATTTTGAAGGAGATAGAAGATTGCCCTCAAACATGCCAGTCATGAAGCCTCCAGGAGGATGTGGGCTGAACCTGTCTGTCTACGGCCAGTCTTGGCACTGGGTTCCCACATGGGAATGCTGGAAACGTCAGCACCACCACATCATGCAAAAAAGTTAAGCGATTATTTGTTCATTTAAGCATTGAACAACAGTTTAAGATGAGCCGGGTCCTTGGACAAGCCTGAATTGGGTTAATCTTAGTTATCTCTAAAGTTCCATCAAGAGGCTCTGGGAATCGAGAGCCGACTGTTGTGAAGTTGGGTGCCAGCTTCTGTGAAGTGTTGGTTACAGTAAGCTGAAGGCCTGTCTCGGTTTTTTTGGCTTGTTGCTTGATTATAACATTGGATATTCTGAAGTTTATAGTGTTTGTTTTATCTACCCCTCAGAGGATTTTTATGGACAGATATGAATAAGGAAAAGTTCTAAAGGATTTAGACCAGAGTACTGGTATTCTCTTCTTGTAAAACTAAGCTTGGGGATTGTCCTTGTTTTATTTTTCAGTTTTTTTTTTTTCCAGGTCCCTTATGAGCGTCTTGGTTCTTTTTTTTAATGCTAAATAAACGAACACAGTAAAAATTAAGACAGAAGGTTATGCCATTGGCTTTTTTTTTTTTTTTTTTAAACAATCTTGCTTTTTGTCCCTTCTTCCATCAGCTCGTGCAGGAGTGGTAATCTGGTGGGTGACAGATAGCATTTTAAAGTTTCAAGTGGCCAGCGAGTTGAATACCTACAGCTCCATCAGCACAACCTACTTTTTCTGGAAGGTGTAAGGTTACTATCAGCTGGATTCTGTTACAGGAGAAGGAACAAGCTATTCATGCTCTGTGCTACTGTCCCCTCTGCCAATTTCCGTGTGTGTGTGTGTGTGTGTGTGTGTGTGTGTGTGAAGCCATGTGCTTGCATGTTTGTGTTTGCTAGTTTTTCATTGTGATCAGGTTTGCCTCTGTTGCAGAACCCTCTGAGAGGGTTGAACACGCTTTACATCCCAGGCAGCTGATTGTCGGTAGCTCCTTCCCGCTTCTTCCGAAGGCAGCATGTCATACCGCGCATTTGTTTGCTCCTCTAAATGTGTACTCTGCGAAGAGGGTCTGATAGCTTAGGTTGCTCTCGGTGGTATCACAAAGAAATAGCACAACCACTCCTAATAAGCAGGTGCTCTGTGTCAGGCAGGGTTATGTACAGCCAGACTTCTTTGGATTTAACCAGCTGTAGATGACAGAGGCTTTACCGAACATGTTCAGGTGTATCGAGATGGTTTAGGATGTGTGTAGGTTATATGCAAACATTACCTACCATTGTAGATAGGTGCAATTTGAGAGAGTCCTAGGTCCAGTTACCATGGATATTGAGGGACCGCTGTGCTTACTAGCTCTCCTTATGACAATTCTAAATAAAGTAGCTTTTTAAAATCACCAAGGAGGTGGAAATTACTTCAGAGGGTCGCACAGGTAGTGGAAGCAGCCACCCAACGCCGGCAGTGTGGCTCCAGCTCTTAAAGTTTACATGTCTGTAAACACACGGAGAGGACGAGGCAGACAGACACTTGTGCGAAGTGGTCCTCTGGCTTGGCAGAGGTTTATAGGTGCCCTTACTTCTTCCCTGAGCAATCTCACCCGCCCTCTTGGACCAGCGGTTCTCAACCTTCCTAACCCTTTTTTCCTCACGTTGTGGTGACCCCCAACCATAAAATTAATTTCCTCGCTACTCCCACACTGTAATTTTGCTACCGTTATGAGCCGCAATGCATCTGTTTTCCGACGTTCTTAGGTGACCTCTAGGAGAGGGTTGAGACCCACAGGTTGAGAACCTGTGTTCTAGGCTATGCTGCCATTCCCCAGGACTCAGTGTCTGAAATCAGCAGCGGTGACCATCCTCCCCTCGCCCTCCAAGATGATGGAATGACGTGCAGAGAAGTTGTTGGCGGAAGTGATTTGAGACAGGGGGGCTACGAACTGCTGGAACCGTAGCTCACATCCGGGATCTTCGGTGACTGGGGTCACTTAGGGCGGCACTCTCCACCCGTGGCCTCATTCGTGGTGTACAAAGGGGACTTTAGTGGAACCTGTCAAACGTTTAGCCTCTTTTTTTGGACAGTAATTTTTTTTTTTTTATATATATAAGGTTTCAGGGTCTAGGAAATGATCTGTTTGTTCTGACATCAGCTCAGGGACATCCTCGTGGGTCCACGCTGGGTTTCTAAGAGGCCGAGCTGGCTCCAGCCTCCCTCGTCCGTCCCCGAACCTGCCCAGCCCACAGAATTTACGATGCCGTCTAGTTCCCTTTGTGGCCCGGGGTCCGCGCCCGTGATCCTCCTGCCTCAGCCTCCCGTCGCGTAAACCACGCTCCGCCGAGGCCGCAGTCGACCCGCCTCCCCCCGCCGGAGAGGTATTGTCTCCGCCTCAGCTTTGTCCGCAAACCCCCTGCCTTCCCCGTGAGGCGGGACCGCCGGCGCCACCGCGGGCGGCGCGAGTCCCCAGGCCCGGCCGCGCTCGGGGAGGCTCGGCGGGGCCGGCGGGCATCCGGGGGCGCACGGCCGCGGCCCCGAGGAGGGGCTCCGCGCGGGCGGGAGGGCGCACAACGGCAGGGCCTGCTCTCGCGGTGCCGACCTCGCCCCCCTACCCGTTCTCCCGGGCCCGAGGGGACGGCTTGGGGGGCGGAGGGGGGGGGG